AGGCTGAGGCAGGAGACTCGCTTGAGCCCAGGAGTTGGAGGTTGCTGTGAGCGTGGATGCCATGGCACTCTACCCAGGGGGATAGCTTGAGGCTTGGTCTCAAAAAAAAAAAAAATGTGATGGGGAAAAATCACATAAGAATGAAAAGATATATTTCAGAGATGGGGGACACATACAGAGAATGCCATAAAAATGTATACACATTTTAAGAAAGGAAAAAAGGTATTGAAATTGTAGTATTCAATATATACCAAATATCGTTATCTTGTATATTGTATCTCTTGTAATTGCAGGAGTTAAACGTGACTTGAGTATTACAACATTAATACCATTTTTTCGTTTTTTAAAATGTGTATACATATTTTTAGTACTCTCTGTATATGTACATAAATTACTTAAATTTACATACATGGAAAAGCATGTTTTGACTTCATCATATGCAGACCTGCATATTATCAAAACTAAATTAGAAACTCAGAAATTAAAAATCTATACATAGATTACTTTGAAGAGAGACTAGGGTTTTGGCTTTCATATGGTGGTTTTTTACTTTAGAAGAAGCAGTTAGTCTATAATTAATCTTTACTAATCTATGAACGATTTTGTTTCCAACAGGCATAAACATATTTTTGGATGGCTATGTTCCAACAGAAAACTTGAGATTCAGAGATGCATCACTTGTTTTTAAAGTTGCTGAGACAGCAAATGAAGAAGAAGTTAAAAAGATGTGTATGTATAAATATCCAGGGATGAAGAAAAAAATGGGAGAGTTTGAGCTAGCAATTGTAGCTGGAGAATTTACGGATTCTGAAATCATGGTGATGTTGGGGGAAAATGGTAAGTCAAGTTTTAACTGTTCAGTGGAGAACTGAATCAGTCACAGGGCTGAGCAATGAATTTTAAATACATAAATTTCTTAGTATAGCTTCACATTTTTGTGGGATTGTATAATTCTAATTTCTGTCATTCAATCAAGTGAACATTTCTTATTTTGTTTTATAACCTTCAGTAAAAATAAGATGTTCTTACCTGGTTTTTCTGCATATAAATTAATAAGGCAGTTTATTCACTTGTAAAATGACCAGGAAGGAAAGAATAAATTGGTAATTTATAAATAATCTGGTTTAAATGGTTTAAACACATTTTCCTTGTACACTTCCATTTGGAACTTTTCTTATTTTAAATTAAGAGCAATCTACCTTTGTAAGTAGTTGTATTACTTACATTTTTAATATTAAGTTCTCATTGTAAGTTTAGTTACAAGATGAATTTGACTGCTAAATATCTGGTATTCCTTTCACGTTATAAAAAAAATTTTTATGAATTATAATCTTACAAATTACAAAACTGTACAAGAAAAATAGTTGCAATGTATCACTCTCTAGTTAATAGGAATTTTTAATTGCTTTGCAATTAATTTAAATATTTCATATAAATGAATTTTTAAATGATGGTTATCTATAAAATAACTTATACTTTCTTAATACTTTGTGTGCATTGATAGTTTAGCTAAATTCATCTTTTAAAACTATCCTAAGACTGAAACTTTATAGATCTACTTATTAAAGTAGTTGTTATAAGTTTTGACTAGTCTCTTCCTTCTAATTAGCTTAAAATTATATTGGAGAAGTGAACTCTGTATTTTTCTGTGTAAGCTTTACAATTCAGTAGTATTAGTGTGTAGCTTTCAAATAAATTCTTCAGTTAAAACCTAGTAGGACCTAGTGACGTACTCTAAATGTGAAGCATCTTTTAAGTCAATTTGTTGTATGTTATGTTGCCAGGTACCGGTAAAACAACATTCATCAGAATGCTTGCTGGAAGACTTAAACCTGATGAAGGAGGTACAGCTGTAAATCTTGAGTCTTTTCATTCTGTTCCACATAGTAAAGTTTCTGGGCATTTTTAGTGTCTTATGTATCTGCATTATTTTGCAGGAGAAGTGCCAGTTCTAAATGTCAGTTATAAGCCACAGAAAATTAGTCCCAAATCAACTGTGAGTTATTATTCTTTTATATGGTTATTTTTTAAAAATTATATTTTTTTATAGCTTCAACCTTTTACTCTATTAAAATTCTTCTCTGAATTAGATTCTGTACAATTTTATCAAAAGTCAATAACAAAGGTATTAAGACTGTTAAGTGTTAAGATTGATTTTAGAAAATGCTTTTAAAATGTGGTGTCTTTTTCCAAAATAAACCTTTTAAAACCTAACATATTTTGTGCTGCAAATGCCAACATCAAGAAAGTGAAAAGGCCACCCATAAGATGGGAGAAAACATTTGCACTTGTATCCAGAATATATAAAGAACTCTCACAACTCAATTTAAATAAATGAGCAAATGTTCATTCCCCAAAAGACATTTTTCCAAAGCACATGAAAAGATGCTCAGCAAAATTAGTTATTATGGAAATGAAAATCAAAACCACAGTGAGATACCACTTACAATAACAAGTATTGGTGAAGATGTGAAGAAATTAGAATCTTATATGTTGCTAGTAGTAATGAAAAGTGGTAGAGGCAGTTGGGAAAATCTGGCAGTTATAGAAATGATTAAACACAGAGGTAGCATAAGAACCATCAATTCTACTTTTAGACATACACCCAAGAGGAATGAAGACCTATCTCAACACAAAACTTGCGCAGAGATGATTTTAACATTATTTATAATAGCTAAAAGGTAGAAACTCAAGTGTTCCCTCTGATGAGTGGATAAACACAATGTGTTAATGTCCATATAATTTAGTGAATTCAGTGTTATGCAGCCATAAAAAGTGAAATACTGATAAATACTACAGTACAGTAAACCTTGAAAGCATTGTGCTAAAGTTAACTCCTTTGATTTCTACAGATTAAGTTATAATGAACTCCTTAACTATCGGAGTACACTTAGTACTTCCCACGTAACATAAGATGGCTTAGGTTACAATAAAAGTGTTATCATTGACATTGTCTATAATCTTAACTTTAAATTCTTAAATTCAACCTTTTCCTGAAATGGCATGCAGACAGCATGTTAGGCTTTATCCCTAGCATATCCTCATGCATGTTGTGTTATCTTGTACTGGTTGCCTAAGTTCACTTAATAAATACCCTCTTTGACCTTTAGATTTCTCTCAAATGATGTCTCCCCTGAAACATTCATCATTTGCTTATTACTTCCTAATTTTAAGATTACTATTGCCTTTTTACGTGTTAGACATGATGAGATTTGAACAGAAAAAAATTCTCAAACCATGCCATAAATGATGAATAAGCATTAAAAATGAAATTGATATCTGTTGGTGGCAAATTGATATACTTTTGCTCTGGAGTTTAACTTTGTTGAGACTCATAAATAAAAGATTACTGAAATATTATCATTTAAATACTTTTATTCATTAAAAACAGGGAAGTGTTCGCCAATTACTACATGAAAAGATAAGAGATGCTTATACTCATCCACAGTTTGTGACTGATGTTATGAAGCCTTTGCAAATTGAAAACATCATCGATCAAGAGGTACTTGACAATAATTATTTTGATCTTGTTTCAATTTTGATATTTTAAATTCTGGATGTTTTTATAAAATGGTTTGCTAAACTCTCCAAATAGGTACAAACATTATCTGGTGGTGAACTCCAGCGAGTAGCTTTGGCTCTTTGTTTGGGCAAACCTGCTGATGTCTATTTAATTGATGAACCATCTGCATATTTGGATTCTGAGCAAAGATTGATGGCAGCTCGGGTTGTCAAACGGTAAATGTCTTGCTCAATAGTGTCATTTTTTATAATATAGAAAGTATGTTTAATATAATATATAAAGTGTGCTTCATATAACATTTGAATGTTTCATGCTGTAAAGCTATAAAAGATTTTGAAATCATTGTGTTTTAGTTTCATACTCCATGCGAAGAAGACAGCCTTTGTTGTAGAGCATGACTTCATCATGGCAACCTATTTAGCAGATCGGGTCATTGTTTTTGATGGTATTCCATCTAAGAACACAGTGGCAAACAGGTAAAACTACTTTTTAAAATGTTCAAAGCTAATTATAAGTTCTAACAGGTTATTTTTAAATTTTCCAACAAGTTCATAAACATTAAAGTCACAAAATCTTTTATTTTTAATGAAATGAAAGAACTAAAATATCTAAACTGATTCTGTGACCCCAGAGATTATTTATATTGAGTACTGGATGGGACCATGTAGAATAGTAGTTTTCCTGTGTGGAATCCCTGACACAGGAGAAGACGCTCAGGGCCTCTCACCTTTTCTTTCAGCTTAACTTTTATCTGTTTTGTTTTATTATTTGAATTTCTTTTCTTTTTTTTTTTTTTTTTTTGGCCAAGCCTGGGTTTAAACGCACCACCTCGGGCATATGGGGCTAGCGCCCTACCCTTTTGAACCACAGACGCCACCGTATTATTTGAATTTCTAGAATAGGGTTTTATTTTTATAAATAATTCCCTCAAAACTATTAATGTTATAAATGACAGAAAAGGTAAGATCCAAAGAGATATGATTTGCCTACTTTATACTGATTTTTTCCTTATTAGCTTGGTTGTGAGCACTTGCAACATAGAGAACAACATTCTGTAACATTCAAATCAGGTTATGAGATAGTTCTTTTACCTTTAGTGCTAAAACCTATATTAGGTTGAATCATATGAAATTAACCAATATTCAGACATTTTTAACCTATAAAAACATCATTTATTTTCATGTAGTTCCAATCTAATATTTTTTAATAGTGAAGAGGATGGAATGGAGTTGCTATTCGAATTACCTAAGAAATGAAAGTGTTTCTACTGAGATTCTTCCCTGAATTCCTTTCTTTCCTTTTTAAATTTGTATGTCAATTAATGAAATAATATATTTTTTGAAGAGCTAGGCAAATTACTTAGAATACTTAAAGCTTACATATTCACATAATGATCCCCCCTTTGTTTTTTTTTGTTTGTTTGTTTTCTTTTTAGAGATAGAGTCTCAGTTTGTTGCCCTCAGTGAAGTGCTGCGGTGTCACAGCTCACAGCAACTTCCAGCTTTTAGGATTAGGCAATTCTCTTGCCTCAGCCTCCGGAGTAGCTGGGACTACAGGCACCTACCACAACGCCTGGCTATTTTTTTTGTTGCAGTTTGGCCAGGGCCAGGTTCAAATCCACCACCCTCCATATATGGGGCAGGTGCCCTACTCACTGAGCCAAGATGACACCCATAATCCCCCCTTTGTATTTACAAAGTGCTGAAAATGTTCCACATGTATATTACGATTTGGCATGATTTGAGACCTAACGGGTAAAAAAGATCCATGAAACATAGAAATTTAAAAAGGAACTATTGCTGAAAACCACTATGTAGAAGTACATATACCTTCCGGTGCCAAATTTCTAGCATAAATGTAACTTTCTGTTAAATTCTCTTCAACCCCTAAAAATGTCAGATTTGAGATTATGTAATCGTCTTAATGATGGTTTGTTTTTCCAGAACAAAAATACAGTTTAAACTCTGTTTTACACAAAACCAGTATAGCCAAGAAACGTGTGTGCTTCATGGAGAGTCATCTCTGAAAATAGGATTTACAATATGTTGTGATGATACTGTTATCCAGATGATTCATGACTGGGGATTAGAGGGAACAGTAATTCTTAGTACTGTTCATCTCAAAAGTCAGTTACATTTGGGGGACAAAATTAATCAAAATTGATCTTTTTTTTCTCCTAGTCCTCAAACCCTTTTGGCTGGCATGAATAAGTTTTTGTCTCAACTTGAAATTACTTTCAGAAGAGATCCAAACAACTATAGGCCACGGATAAACAAACTCAATTCAATCAAGGTATGTGGAAAAATTACCTTAAATCATAGATAGTATCTATTGTAGTATAAATAATTAAAAGACTTTCTTTAAAAATAAAAACCATATTTTAACAATTCTACAATTAATGTTTGTTACATTTTCAGACCTGGTAGTGTACTTGCGTTTTTCAGGCAGCAGTTGTGATGTAGCTGTCAAACTGCGGCATGGACTCAGGCAGGGCCATTCATGTCTCTTGCAGTTGTCCCCATGGTTGTACTACCTATGCTGATTGCCATTTGCAATGTCTTGGAAAAGTTTATACTAATACACCACTGAAGTGAAGTTTTTAAAAAATGTCTTAAACCATTTTTCCTGTTTTATGTTTTTCAATGCATGGTAAAAAATGTGTATTTTAAGTGTTTGAACAGGCTTTTTTTGATGAGAAAAACGCTGTGTCAGCTTAATAAGGCAGTATTTTTCTGTCCTTTTAGTACATAAAATAATTGGGCTCTATACTTGATTTAGTTTGTGAAGCATGCTATTTGTTTTTTGGAAGGCAAAAATTCCATGGTTGCTTTATTATTATTATTATTATTTTTTTTTTGAGACAGAGTCTCACTTTGTCACCCTGGGTAGAGTGCCGTGGCATCATACCTTACAACAGCCTGAAACTCTTAGGCTCAGCCGATCCTCTTGCCTCAGCCTCCCTGTGACTGCAGGCACCTGTCACAATACCTGGCTAGTTTTTCTACTTTTAGTAGAGACAGGGTCTCACTCTTGATCAGGCTGGTCTCAAATTCCTGAGCTTGAGCAATCTTCAGCTTTTCAAAGTGCTAGGATTATAATTGTGAGTTTGGTTGGTTGCTTTTAAAAAGAAAAAGTGAATAAACTCTAAAAACTTTGCTAGTGTTCACCTACAGTGCCTACCTAAAATATTTTCATTTCATTGCCCTATGTACATCATCCTAACACTTAAAAGCTTTAGAAATCTGTTACACATACCCCTGTTGTAGCATTTATTTTCATGTTTGTAGTCCTCACTGAGCTCTGGGAAATCCAGAGGCAAAGTCATGCTGCGTATTATTGTATTCTTAATCGTAAGCACTTAACACAACATCCGGATACCTTTATCCCTCTCACTATATATTTTGTTTACAAATGATTGGTATTTGGTATCCAGGCCAGGATAAAGAAATGGTTAAGTTTCTTTTTTTCTTTTTTTTTAATCTGGATATACCTGATATTAAAATTGAAAAAAATATATTATAAAGGGAAATTACGAACATATTTCACTTATAAATGAGGGTGCAATATCCTAAACAACATACTAACAAGTTGAATTAAAAATTTTTGTTCAGTTGTTCAAGAAATGGTTAAGTTTCAAAGTACAACTGAAGATCTCAGTTCTGAAAAGCATATTAAGCAGAAAAGAGGACAGGAATTTTTTCTGAAGCATTATGAACACTCTGGGTTATTTTTCTCAGTAGACCCATGGTTCACCCAGGTACACCTATCAATCATTTCTACATGCTCACTCATCTTAGTTCTGTCCTAATGAGGGAAACGGGTAGCCACTGAGATACATAAATTGTTACTGGCCAGTCTATAAATAGTATTGAGAAAAACTACTTTTATATATATTTTGGGCCAGGAGATTAAAGTTGAAATGATAAAAATGTAATTTAATAGTTTTCCCAGAAATATTACAATACATAGCAAAATTTTATATATGTAAAGCATCTTATTTAAAAGGATTTTGTGTGAGTTGCTGCAAGTGAGTCATTGTATAGTAGGTGTGAGGGGCAGGGAAGGTAATCTTGCTGTCGAGTAGTGGACCCAGGAATAAATATCCAGAAGCAGCTGATGGCTACAGAGGAGGGTGTACAGCACTCACTGTTGTTAAACATGGCTCAGCAATACTGCAGGTGAAAGTCTACCTTTACCTATAGGAGAGTGACATTACTGATTCTATTGCTTCTCTGTTTTATTTTTTAGGATGTAGAACAAAAGAAGAGTGGAAACTACTTTTTCTTGGACGATTAGACTGAATCTGAGAATATTGATAAGCCATTTATTAAAAGCAACATTTACTAGGATTTTTGTCATATAAAACTTGAATCAGGTTTTATACCCCACATGCTGTGTACTTTATGTAACATCAAATGCCAGTTGTGTTGTAAATTACAGTCTAGACAGAAAATGCCACTTTTCTGTTCTTAATGATGAAGCTCTTTTGTGCATATTCTAAAATGAAGACATTTCAAGCTATACAAATTACCTCCAAAGTTTTCATGACATATGGGAAGATAATCAGTAGGTGTACTATATTCACATACCAAATGCTGACAGTGTTGCCCCATTTAAAAAATCTTGAGAAAAGGTTCTGTACTTACCTGATCTGCCAACTATGCCAGTATAATGAAACTGCCCTTATTTTAAAAGCCAGTTGAACACTCCACTGGTGAGATTTGATAAATAAACATCAGGATTACATTTATTGTTTGTTCTCAGTCTTTGCACTATATTATCAGTGTATGGTTTCCAAGGAAGATTATCTATTATAAAACACTGTTGGAAAAATAGGTATTTGTTACATAAGATTTGTATTTAATGTTTTTTGGTTATAATTCCTTCCTCCTGCCCCCCCCCCCGAAAACTCTGAACTTTACTCTGAATTTTTCAGTTTTTGCCTTCTTATAAGATTCTGTATTACATAACTATTCTCAAGGTAGTTTCATTTTTTATCATGCATTTATATAATCACTGATCAAAATTTAGGAAAAAGTATGTCTAAAGATTATTTCCTTCCCTTAAAACTTTAGAATCAAAATCTTTAAAGATGGTGCCTGAATATGTATCTTTTAAATTTCCATAGGTTTTTCTGATGGGCAGCCAAGGATTATAAATCAGTTCCCTAAAGGCAGCACTAATGCAAGAATCCCCAGATAGCAACACTAAGTATCCATTGGTACTAAATTAAATATACTATGTTCATTTCTAAGTTTAGATACAAACTCATCCAAATTTCTTGGGTCCCTTAGTTTGAACATCAGGATACCTGTAGCCTGAAATTACTTTCAGTTGTGCTTCTGACTAATATGTTGAACTGAAATTAAATGTGAGTGAAGAAGGGGGCTTAACAAATTATTGGGACATGCAAAATGGGGAGAATTAGAAATTATTTGTCAGACTTTTAGAGCTTGAAATGATAGCTTTGATTAATATGTAAACAGTAAATAGAAAATATGGTTCAACTGGATCCATTAGGCCTTCTAAAGAAAAATAATTGATGTGAGTAATCTATAAATACATATTTGTTATGAAAAATTCAAATATACTTAAGTATATGGGATTTTAAAAATGATCTCTATTACCCTTCCAAAGGTTACCAGTGTTTAAATTTAATAATATATATTTCATGCTTTTTTTCTGTGCACTTACCTAAGTGTGAATATGTAAAGGATTTATTTATTTACGTATTTGTTTGTAAAGGATAAATGAGATTGTACTAAAATTCGTAGTACCTATTTTTAAGGATAGGTTAAATTTGTGAATGATCATTTCAAATATATGGAATAAAAGAAGTCAAAAGCTATTTTTATTTACCGATTCCGTATTCTCCACTAAAGAAAATACTTGTGATATAGTAAGAGCACAGTTTTTTCTACTTAACTGCTGATGAGAGAGTATGTGTTAATTATAAGGGAATATTTTTTGTGTAAATGAAAATTTTATATAGCAACAGAAAGGCCTACAGTTGCTAACACAAGAAAAAGATTTATCTACAAAACCAGTATGACATACACTATATATTAGCTATTAAAAAGAATGGGATTACTTGGTATGCCTTGACTGGAAAAAGTCTCACATACCAAGAAAATACCAGTGCAACACTATATACATTACCATTTATGTAAAAATATATAAAATATCTAAATATACAAAGGAATACTCAACAGATTACTTTTGGGAAGGACAGCTTGGCTAAAGAATAAGGAAGGAAAGACATTGCTATACACATATAATACCATTCAAATTTTATATTTCACATGTATTAACTTTAAAAACAATTAAAATTTTAAAATTGTCATGAGAGATAATATTGTGTTCACCTAATATAGTCTTAACAAAAGCAGTGTGTTGATTCTATGACTATTTTATGCAATTTAAGTTAACCTTTAAATCATATGCATCTTGAAGTCCAGCTCTGTATCTGTCTTGCTTCTCACTCAGTGTGCAGTATGGTGTCTGGCACATAGTGGCTTAACTTTATTGAAGGAGTACATGCCACAGAAAAAAATAAGCCTGGAAAACTACTCTGTTGTATAATTTCATTCTTGTTCACCAACACACTCATTACATGTATGTCAAGACTTT